ACTTATTTTGTGCTACCCAATAAGTCCTATTGTGCTCAAGAGGACATCCTGGCCTTTCCAATGATATCTCATGTGTTTGGGTTGCCTCTTTTACCTCCAAACACATAAGATATCACAAAATATGTTAAACTGATAGATACATGTTTACTTGGTAATTAGGAGGGTATTAAAAGCCCTATTTTGTAGAAGCTGTATGACGATTTCTAACAGGCTGAAGAACAGCACACTGCATGAGTAAAGATCATTCAGAAGAGCAGCACAGTTAGCAAACCTTCGCAGAGGTATTACAGCTGCTGAAGTTACATCATATTCTCATCAAATTCATAACAGTACTTTTCCTGTTTGCATGTACATTTTAAAATACTGCAGAGGCTATCACTGCGCCACGAAAAGTCCTCAGTAAAATCCTGCACACCCCAAAAGGTCTCAGGCTCAGCCATCCAAAGTCTCCAACACTTTGCGCTTTATTTGGTGATATTACACATGTATATGTATGTTCTGAGAGCATCTCTGGAGATAAGAGATAAGTGTAAACAATGAAAAAATATAGCAGCACAACATTTAGCAGGCTTTAATGTAACCCAGGTTGCAAATGCAACCATAATAAAATAGCAACCACAACCATGAATGGCAAGAAATACAAATATGTAGTAGAGACAGTTCATACTAAAACATTTTTTTTAAATCCTTTTGTCTGACTAAAAGTTCTAAGTAAAGAAGAAAGATATTTTGTAGCAATCTTAAAATCTTTAGCATGCCCTTTCCCTCTGAGTTTACAAAGTGGTTAGAGATGAACACTAAAAGGACTAACAGCCCAAATAACAGGATGTAACAGTGTTTTTGAGCTGTAATGATGCATCGCCTGCTGGAACTCTTTTAGCAGACACAGTGGAAAAATATCGGAAAACTTGGAAGTGTAGAAACTAAAGATATGTAATCAAAAATATCTGTGGCTCTCTCATAAAAATATGGAATTTATTACCATGTACTCCACAACGTTAGTTGGCCTTGTAGCAGTGAAGTGCTATAATTTGAATGCTGACGCAGTGCTGATGTTTGAGTAATATCTGTGCAGCTACACTGACTCATTTAGTGACAGCAGATTACAGTTTGTCTGCATCAGTTTTTCCTTTACAGGCACAGCTGCTGCTCATTGAGGAGCCACACCCAGTTAGTTTTAGGTTTGTGTCTTATCACTTTGTGTTTACACACCTCTCTGCATTTAATCAGTATTTAGTATTAATCTCGCTCTCTTCTACAGCGTGTCTCTGTCCTGTCTTCCTCCCTTCACCCCCAACCAGGCAGCCCCCCTCCTCTCTGAGCCTGGTTCTGTTGGAGGTTTCTTCCTGTTAAAAGGGAGTTTTCCTTCTCACTGTCACTAAGTGCTTGCCCATCGAGGGACATCTGATTGCTTTTCTGCCACTAGAAGGCGCCATTTCAACATTTCATGCTACTGAAGCTAAAATACTGTCTTTGAGACCCATCTGATAGCAGACAGTTCCAGTGCCGGGTGCTCGGCTCATGATGAGGTGATTTCTTCTGTCCCAGGTTCTGTCTGTTTTTGTGTTTTTTCTTACAGGTGCAGATCCTTTGCACTTTTCTATCTGTGCGCTATCCCTTTATGTTTTCTCTTTTTTTCTTCCCATTTCTTTTTTTTGTGTCCCGTTTGGATC